ATTTTATTTTTCAGTGTTAATTAGATGATAGAGAGTTGAACCCTCTGATCACGTTGGGGTGTCACCCAGCATCCGCTCCGGGTGACACCGGGCCTCGGGACGCCCCTGTTCCCACCATCCCTGTGCTGAGTTCCCGGGTCTGTACACCTGCTGTGCCCATTATGAGGGGCTCCCACCATCCCTGTGCTGAGTTCCCGGGTCTGTACACCTGCTGTGCCCATTATGAGGGGCTCCCACCATCCCTGTGCTGAGTTCCCGGGTCTGTACACCTGCTGTGCCCATTATGAGGGGCTCCCACCATCCCTGTGCTGAGTTCCCGGGTCTGTACACCTGCTGTGCCCATTATGAGGGGCTCCCACCATCCCTGTGCTGAGTTCCCGGGTCTGTACACCTGCTGTGCCCATTATGAGGGGCTCCCACCATCCCTGTGCTGAGTTCCCGGGTCTGTACACCTGCTGTGCCCATTATGAGGGGCTCCCACCATCCCTGTGCTGAGTTCCCGGGTCTGTACACCTGCTGTGCCCATTATGAGGGGCTCCCACCATCCCTGTGCTGAGTTCCCGGGTCTGTACACCTGCTGTGCCCATTATGAGGGGCTCCCACCATCCCTGTGCTGAGTTCCCGGGTCTGTACACCTGCTGTGCCCATTATGAGGGGCTCCCACCATCCCTGTGCTGAGTTCCCGGGTCTGTACACCTGCTGTGCCCATTATGAGGGGCTCCCACCATCCCTGTGCTGAGTTCCCGGGTCTGTACACCTGCTGTGCTCATTATAAGGAGTGCCCACCATCCCTGTGCTGAGTTCCCGGGTCTGTACACCTGCTGTGCCCATTATGAGGGGCTCCCACCATCCCTGTGCTGAGTTCCCGGGTCTGTACACCTGCTGTGCCCATTATGAGGAGCTCCCACCATTCCTGTGCTGAGTTCCCGGGTCTGTACACCTGCTGTGCCCATTATGAGGGGCTCCCACCATCCCTGTGCTGAGTTCCCGGGTCTGTACACCTGCTGTGCTCATTATAAGGAGTGCCCACCATCCCTGTGCTGAGTTCCCGGGTCTGTACACCTGCTATGCCCATTATGAGGAGCTCCCACCATCCCTGTGCTGAGTTCCCGGGTCTGTACACCTGCTGTGCCCATTATGAGGGGCTCCCACCATCCCTGTGCTGAGTTCCCGGGTCTGTACACCTGCTGTGCCCATTATGAGGGGCTCCCACCATCCCTGTGCTGAGTTCCCGGGTCTGTATACCCGCTGTGCCTATTATGAGGGGTCCCCATCACCATATAGGTGTTAGCACCTGAAGCCCCCAGATGGACGGTCAGTACCGGGGTTGGCCGATGATAACGGTCGGGATACCAATCAATGTGCGATTATATTTGCAGTGAGTCCAGTCTGAACCGATACGAGGTGCAGCCGATCCTGAGGACGAGTCAGGACTCCGGGCCGGAGTTCATCACGAAGTTTAAGGTGCGTCAGATGTATCGGTGTGTATTGGGGGGAAGAGTAATATACAATATGTAGATCCTTCCTGTATACTCCGCCCCTTGTATACTCCGCCCCCTGTATACTCCGCCCCTTGGAGGTCACCATACATCGATATGTCATTATTTTACCCGAAATTAAAGGAAATTCCAGAAAACACAATGATTTAGTAATGGATTACGGGTGATGTGTTCTGTCCTTGTTTCCAGGTTCAGTACGGGGACTGTTACCCTCTGCACAACGTCTCTGTGCACATCCACACCCCGGCTATGGGCTACGGGAGCTCATACTTCATGTCCGTCTCCAGGATCATCTCTGAGAACGTAAGATGGGGGGGAGGGGAGGAAGGATGGCTGTGCTTATACTCGGTGACACCGGTGTCACCCCCTCTTGTTATATCTCCCATCAGGTCACCTGCGTATTATCCAATAACACGCGACCCGGAACAGCGCTGCTGCCCATACACCCCGCGGACCTGCTACACACTCCCATTGTGGTGAGTACTGGAAATGTTGGACTGGATTCTGGTGGAGTCCCATTGCCGGGGCTAGAAGAGTCCAATGGTTTCCAGACCTCAGTGGGGGTCATTAGATAATTATAGGGGGGCTGAGTCTTGTTATTAGAACAATGGTGGGACCCCCTAATGTTTCCTTCTCCTATCAGAACTGCAGTAACAGCCTATGTGAGGTCATCTCCTGCCAGATCCCCACCCTCCCCCGCAACTCCGAGGTGTCGCTGTCCATACTACGCATCATCCACAACCACTTCTTCACCAACGTGAGTATCCAATACAGGACAGAGCAATGCTCTGCGAGGTCAGTGGTGGAATAATCTGCAGAATATATCAATATGTATTTGTCAGGGGGGAGATGGGACGGAAACAATGCTCTGCAGATCTCTAGAGAGGTCAGTGGTGGAATAATCTGCAGAATATATCAATATGTATTTGTCAGGGGGGAGATGGGACGGAAACAATGCTCTGCAGATCTCTAGAGAGGTCAGTGGTGGAATAATCTGCAGAATATATCAATATGTATCTGTCAGGGGGGAGATGGGACGGAGCAATGTTCTGCAGATCTCTAGAGAGGTCAGTGGTGGAATAATCTGCAGAATATATCAATATGTATCTGTCAGGGGGGAGATGGGACGGAGCAATGTTCTGCAGATCTCTAGAGAGGTCAGTGGTGGAATAATCTGCAGAATATATCAATATGTATCTGTCAGGGGGGAGATGGGACGGAGCAATGTTCTGCAGATCTCTAGAGAGGTCAGTGGTGGAATAATCTGCAGAATATATCAATATGTATCTGTCAGGGGGGAGATGGGACGGAGCAATGTTCTGCAGATCTCTAGAGAGGTCAGTGGTGGAATAATCTGCAGAATATATCAATATGTATCTGTCAGGGGGGAGATGGGACGGAGCAATGTTCTGCAGATCTCTAGAGAGGTCAGTGGTGGAATAATCTGCAGAATATATCAATATGTATCTGTCAGGGGGGAGATGGGACGGAGCAATGTTCTGCAGATCTCTAGAGAGGTCAGTGGTGGAATAATCTGCAGAATATATCAATATGTATCTGTCAGGGGGGAGATGGGACGGAGCAATGTTCTGCAGATCTCTAGAGAGGTCAGTGGTGGAATAATCTGCAGAATATATCAATATGTATCTGTCAGGGGGGAGATGGGACGGAGCAATGTTCTGCAGATCTCTAGAGAGGTCAGTGGTGGAATAATCTGCAGAATATATCAATATGTATCTGTCAGGGGGGAGATGGGACGGAGCAATGTTCTGCAGATCTCTAGAGAGGTCAGTGGTGGAATAATCTGCAGAATATATCAATATGTATCTGTCAGGGGGGAGATGGGACGGAGCAATGTTCTGCAGATCTCTAGAGAGGTCAGTGGTGGAATAATCTGCAGAATATATCAATATGTATCTGTCAGGGGGGAGATGGGACGGAGCAATGTTCTGCAGATCTCTAGAGAGGTCAGTGGTGGAATAATCTGCAGAATATATCAATATGTATCTGTCAGGGGGGAGATGGGACGGAGCAATGTTCTGCAGATCTCTAGAGAGGTCAGTGGTGGAATAATCTGCAGAATATATCAATATGTATCTGTCAGGGGGGAGATGGGACGGAGCAATGTTCTGCAGATCTCTAGAGAGGTCAGTGGTGGAATAATCTGCAGAATATATCAATATGTATCTGTCAGGGGGGAGATGGGACGGAGCAATGTTCTGCAGATCTCTAGAGAGGTCAGTGGTGGAATAATCTGCAGAATATATCAATATGTATCTGTCAGGGGGGAGATGGGACGGAGCAATGTTCTGCAGATCTCTAGAGAGGTCAGTGGTGGAATAATCTGCAGAATATATCAATATGTATCTGTCAGGGGGGAGATGGGACGGAGCAATGTTCTGCAGATCTCTAGAGAGGTCAGTGGTGGAATAATCTGCAGAATATATCAATATGTATCTGTCAGGGGGGAGATGGGACGGAGCAATGTTCTGCAGATCTCTAGAGAGGTCAGTGGTGGAATAATCTGCAGAATATATCAATATGTATCTGTCAGGGGGGAGATGGGACGGAGCAATGTTCTGCAGATCTCTAGAGAGGTCAGTGGTGGAATAATCTGCAGAATATATCAATATGTATCTGTCAGGGGGGAGATGGGACGGAGCAATGTTCTGCAGATCTCTAGAGAGGTCAGTGGTGGAATAATCTGCAGAATATATCAATATGTATCTGTCAGGGGGGAGATGGGACGGAGCAATGTTCTGCAGATCTCTAGAGAGGTCAGTGATGGAATAATCTGCAGAATGTCAGGAGGGTGCGATGTTCTGCAGACTGCCCACTGGTTGACTTTCCGCCTCCTCACAAGCCGTCCATTGTTTCCGCAGGAAGTCATTTTCACATCTTTGGGAGCAAAACAGGAAGAGTCTATTTGCAGTGGGCGGCGTCCCAACAATGGCGGCTTTATAAGATTCTTCTCCTGTGTTCCGGGCGGAGTCCGTGCCGCTCCGCAACTAAGCGGGACATTTCCACCCGGTGAATCTCGTACATTCACCCGCAGTCACTTCCTCACTGACATCATGCATTCTGATGTGACATTCAAATGTTATATATACAGAATATATGTGCAAGTGTGTATATATAATACAATGTATATCCAGGGGCGTCCCGAGGCCGGGTGCCACCTGGAGCGAAGACCAGGTGACACCTCGTCGTGACGTCATTGCGCATGCGCGGTCATCTAATTGACGCCTGCCGGCGGCCATCTTGGTGATGGTCGCCGGCAGAGAGAGGAGGGGACGTTCACCCGGCGGGATGAGGTATGCCGCCGGGTCCCCTCCTCTCTCCTGACACTGTCGGGCTCTCCGTCCATGACCGAGTGTCTGACTTTTTAGAGGGGGGTGACACCAAAATGACTGTCAGTCATTTTGGTGTCACCCCTCCAATGGTGTTACTCGGGTGCGGGCCGCACCCCCCGCGTGACGCCACTGCGTATATCTATCTATAAATCCTTTAACAGCCAATAATGAATCAGATTAAACAAATCACATAAAGTTCCTTACCGGTGATACTTTCCCTTTAAGGATTGCGTCGGTCCTCATATGGCATTCTGGGACTTGCAGTTCGCCAGCATCTAAGGCCTCATTGGCTGTCGGTAGAGGTGGGCGGAGTCTCACGTTTCTTTTTTTCTCTTCTCTTCCAGGCCAAGTTCCGCTCTGTGAAAGTGATCAGCGAGTTCATCCTGAACGTCAGAGAGGACGGCGGCCTGTTCACCGACAACGCCCGGCACAGGACGCAGGTCTGCACTGCCCACATGACAAAGAGGACCTGTGTTGTGACACGCGGTGCACACTAGGCATGCTTGAATAACATACATTGAGAGGTCACTAAAGCATCCTGAAATGCTATTGCAGTTAGATGAATGGAGGTCAGAGAGTGACATTGTTAATTGCCTCTGAATTCTGATACACCAACCTGGAACAAGCATATGTTGATGTCTGCTCCGCCCACTTTGTGGTGTCCCCGCCCCTTTGTTTCATTCTGCATAATATAATATGAAAATTTAATTTATGCAGATTTTGGATGGAGTGGAGAAGGATTAGACCCGTTTTATCATTCCTTGTGTCCCCACTGGTGAGATCCATCCCCTCTTTTTGTACTGGTGTCACCCAGAAAGTCATGGAAAAGCCAAAATGATGGTGGTGTCACCAGAACGGCATACAGGGCACATTTTCCAATAGGGTACACCTGCTTCGGTGATAACTAAGAGGGGAATTATCTCACTTCCTGCTGTGTCTCTAGCACAGGAAGTGAAGGGAAATCTTCCATAGGGGACACAGTTCTTAATACATTGCTGATTTCGGTGACTTTGTGTCTTGCAGAGTGTCCTGGAGCTGCTGCACCCGGTCCTCCTGCCGCTGTCACTGTGGATCCTGATCGGAAGCGTCATCGGAGGTCTTCTCTTATTAGCGCTGATCATCTTCATCCTGTGGAAGGTAAGTCAATGACGAATGGCGATAGACTTAGCCCCGCCCCCTGCCGGTGAGGATTGCAGTACAGTACCTGCCAACAGCCTGCAGGTGGGGTACTTCAGAGCTGATCCTCTATAGAAGGCGACAGGCACCCCAGACAGGGATGCCACTACCTGCTACAGCCTCCAATCAGCACTACCTGCTATGTACAGCAGCCTGCCGGCCCCAGAGACCCAGCGATGACATCACATTGTATGGTATGTGGCCATCTTAAGGGTGATTGTGCAATCAGATTGCATGGTGCATCTTATGATGACGAAGCATTCAGGAGGGTAATAATGAGCCATAGCTGAATGGTATAGGAACCAGTGGGGGAGGGGCGGCGCTGAGCGAAGCAAGCATTTGAGACCCGGCCCGATCCGCACTCGGCCTCCTACTATGAATGTCTGATGGAATGTCCTCATAAGAATAACATAGATAAAAGGGGCGCAGTGGCGTGCGGGGTATGTAGGAGGACGCACAGCTGTCATATGCCGCCCCACCCCGAGCCACATCGGGGATCAGCTATGTCACATATGTACAATAAAGTGCACCTGTCACCAGAAAGACCCATCCAGAGCCATCTGTGCATTGCAATACAGCAGCTGCTGCAGAACTACAAGTCCCAGCATGGCACATCTCCTCAAGGAGCAGTCCATTTTTTGCTGCATGGCCCATATTTAGGGTATAACATCCATGGTCAGAAAGGTAAACGAGGCCTTTAATGAGGTTTTTAGGAGAGTCGGTAGAGTCTGGCAGCTGCAGAGGATCTGATGAACCAGGCGCAGTGCTGCCCCCAGGTGGTGACATCCGGGTACTGCACAGCGGACAGCGCTGAATTATAACCCTTTTAAGGCCTTTTTTTAGTTTTTTGCGCCATGTTATAATCCACATTTTAGCCCTGAAAAGTACTTCAAACTCCCCCAAACATGATATATTTTCTGAAAGCCGAGACCCTGTAGAATGAAACGGCGCCAGTTGCAATGTTTTACGTTGCACGACATTAGCGCAACCTGTTATCAAACCCGAAAATTTAGTGAAAAATGCACTCAGGTTAAATTTAGTGCCATAAAACACTATATTAAACCATTGTTTTTGCTAAAATATAAAAGATGAGGTTACAACGAGTAAATAGATACCTGACATGTCCAGGTTCAAAATTGTGTGCGTCCTTGAATCGGCAACAAAATTCAGTACCCCATAAAGTCCATAGACGACGCCTTAAAAGCCCCCCACAGGTCATCAGTTTAGAGATACATGTAAATATTGGCCCGAAAATTTTTGCTTTCACTCCGGCGTGTGCGGCGGTGTCCAACATGTGTAGCGCGATCATCGTTTTCATACGTAGACGCACCCGAAGCGTGTTTATGTGAAGACGCGAGTGTTTGCAGTAGCGGGGAACTTTACATTTTTTTTTTCCCATTTATTATGCTTAACTTTAATTGCTATCACATGGGGGGGCTTACAAGCCCCCCATGTGATTAGCATATTGGTGGCGACAGGTACTCTTTAAGGTGATGCTGGGGGTCCAAAAGACTCCCAGTGTCACCTTTAGGCCCCGTTCACGCCTGAGCGTTTTACCGCGCGTTCCTACGCTCGGTAAAACGCACAACAGGTGAAAACCCATGTTTGCCTATGGGCATGGTTCTCACCTGCGCGTTTTACCGCCCGTTCGATCGCGTGGTAAAACGCCATACGCCCAAAGAAGTACATGAGCTTCTTTGGGGCGTATTAACGCCCGTATCCCGCTGTTATCAGCCGGATACCCCCTCGGAAACTCGCGTTTGACGCGCGTTTCTTTTACCGCAAATCGCTGTAAAACCGCGCCGTAAGAAACGCGTGGCAAACGCGAGTTTCCAATACGCTAAGGTGTGAACCCAGCGTTACACTTTAAATAAGCTATTTAGAGTGTAATGACAGCTTTTTGACTTTGCTCTCAGTCCCATAGAACGGGGTGCCCATATCCAGCTTCTTCACCCTTACCGATAGGTACTGTACCTCATGGCAGAGGCTCAACGTTGTCACCCTGCAACAGGAAGTGCTGTTTCTGGCGGGAGCTCCAGGTAGAAAACACGGCAACAGCATCAATTTAAAAAAAACACAATGGGAGGAATTGATCAAAACTGGAGCAGAAGGAATCTGGAGCAGTTGCCCGTGGCAACCAATCAGCTTCTCTCTTTAGTTTGCTCAGGTAAGATTTGAAAATGAGAGATAGAAGCTGATTGGTTGCAGGGCAAATACACACAGTTTTGATAAATCCCCCCCAATGAATATAACGCCAAACAGACTGAAAACGCGATGTTGGGTTTATATAGACTTAGGATGGAATACATATGCAGATCCCTTCCCCGCATTTCTCATTCTCGTGTCTTCTTCTCCCGGTGTCACAGTTGGGATTTTTCACACGGAAGGTCCAGGGTGAGGAGAAGGAAGAAGCCGCCGCCGCTGATGACAACCAGTGACCGCTCGCCGGTCCCCCTCCAACAGAGGCTAGAACTGTCTACCATGGACCCGTGACTCTGTGCGCCCGGAGCACGGGCTCCATGTTCTGCTTCTTGCTAAGGGAAGGACCTTTCAGTTCAGGAAACCCCAAAACAAAGTCCCACCTCAGGAGAAATACTGAATATAAGAGAACACATGGAGGACCTCACAGAGGATCCTGGAGGTAGACGGGGCAGCCCTGAGTCATGTACCATGGAGGACCTCAGAGAGGATCACGGGACAGTCCTGGGCCATGTACCATGGAGGACCTCACAGAGGATCCTGGGGAAGACTGGACCACCCTGGGCCATGTACCATGGAGGGGATCACGGGGACAGTCCTGGGCCTTGTACCATGTAGGACCTCACAGAGGATTCTGATGATGACAGGACTGGGCCATGTACCATGGAGGGAATCACGGGACAGTCCTGGGCCATGTACCATGGAGGACCTCACAGAGGATTCTGATGATGACGGGACTGGGCCATGTACCATGGAGGGGATCAAGGGACAGTCCTGGGCCATGTACCATGGAGGGGATCAAGGGACAGTCCTGGGCCATGTACCATGGAGGACCTCACAGAGGATCCTGGGGAAGACTGGACCACCCTGGGCCATGTACCATGGAGGGGATCACGGGGACAGTCCTGGGCCTTGTACCATGTAGGACCTCACAGAGGATTCTGATGATGACAGGACTGGGCCATGTACCATGGAGGGAATCACGGGACAGTCCTGGGCCATGTACCATGGAGGACCTCACAGAGGATCCTGAGGAGGACGGGGCCACCCTGGGCGCACAGAGACTTTCTGATGGGACTTCTGCGGGAACACTGAACCTGACCCCAGGACAGGATGACCATATTGTACAATGACGGAGCCATGAGGGAGAATAAACTCCATTTCTTTTATAGGGAACCCGGAGATTTATATATATATTGTGCTGCCTGGGACTGATGTGGATGGACTGTGTACAAGATCAATAAAAGATATTTATACATAACGTCCGATGTATGCAGAGGGAGCAACGCACGGTACCAGGTTTGTATTCCCTAAGTTGGTGGATCTGAACCACCAGGCCACAGGTTCTGACCAGTAACGCCCTACAGCCCAGCATGGCTCCCTACCTGGCCCAGGGGGTCTGTACACACACTGCTCCGGGGGAAGAGTCTAGGGCAGGGACAGGCAACCTTGGTACTCCATCATATCTCTGCCTCTGCGAGGCATGCCTGTGGCTGGCAAGAGTCCTGCAATGCCTCATGGGACGTGTAGTTCCGTAATAGCTGTACAAGTATTACTTTTTTTTTTGTACCACGGTGACATGGAAGAGTTTAGCAGGCCCTGGTCCCACTAAGGTTGAGAACCATTGACCTATACAGTATGTATATAAGCCAGGGATAAGTATTCTCTGCACCCTAGCTGTGGTGATACTACAACTCCCATCATCTCTCTGCCTCTGGGAGTCAAAGTCTTGCAATGCCTCGTGGGACTTGTAGTGAGATAGGAGGGTGATCGTGTGACTCCCCCCTCCCCATCCTCCTTCACCATACCAAGCTATTTACACTCAACATGGGGCAGGGTCCCCAAGGTGATGAGGAGAAGAGCTTCTTCCCCACAATCCTGGCCCCCGGGGCTGTGGGGGGTCTTATATGAATCTGAGCGCCCCCTTTCCTAAACCCCTACTCATTCACCAAATAAACATGGCAAATACACACACCGCGCCAGCTTGACATGTCGCGCAATGTATATCCATCATCAATTCAGATGACATCATGGGACTTGCTCCGCCCCTTTGTTTACATTCCAGGTGGCGGCAGCTGTCAAGTTGGGGCCGGTGTTCGTTGGGTGCGGTCCTGTCTGCGGGGATTTTTGTTTTTCATTGGGTCAACGAGGATCTATATGGGTGGGCGACGTGATTGATAATGGAGTTACACCGTGTGACTTTTTAGTACAACAAAAGAAAAATAACTTGTCACACCGGTGTGCTGTGTTTACTTACCATCTTAACCACCTTCCGTGGCTTCCTGGAGGCGGGCCGGCGCTTCTAAAAGTCCTTGTACTCGCGCGCGAGCGGGAAACCGACTGTATTTTTAAACAGCCGGCGATACTTGATCGCTTGTATGTGATGGTGTGCACCTTGGCCACTGCCCCCTATCCTGAGCTCCGCTCTGCCCCCCACCTTGGCCACTGCCCCCTATCCTGAGTTCCGCCCCCACCTTGGCACTGCCCCCTATCCTGAGCTCCGCTCTGCCCCCTATCCTGAGCTCCGCTCTGCCCCCCACCTTGGCCACTGCCCCCTATCCTGAGCTCCGCTCTGCCCCCACCTTGGCCGGCTCTATGTTACTTCAATGAAATCTCCCTCTGACTGGAAGTTCCAGTATCGGGGGTAAGTATTGGAGCATTTGGGCAAGTACGAGTAGCAAATACTCGGTATCGGTGCATCCCTATTGTGAAGACTTGAGTGCCGCCACTCCCTGCATGATTACACCGAGTGCAGGACACCATGGTGACACCCTCAGGGGGATGGCCTCTGACACCCGTCACGTACAGCATGTCCTCAGTATTTGGAGTCATGCTTGACATTGAAAACAAGCAACTGATCAGCACGCTGCACAGCTACAATCTGTAACGTCCATTGGGCCGCGGAGAGTCATGGGATGCCAGGGGCGTGTCCTTCTCATACAACTCTTGAGGTACGGTGCTGTGACATGATGCGTGCTTTCATACAATGCTTGGGAAAAGCGGGACACCAGCCCTAAATATCACACCCCCAATATGACCCAGAGCACAAATGAATACCGCCAGAAAAAGATTATAGTTGTGAGAGGCGGAGCCAACACCAGGACAGATCAGGAGAGGAAACCGATGTAGAATAAGGGGATTGTGACAGGAAATAGAGAGGGGCGGAGGAATATTGGTGATCAAGTGGGTTGACCCGGGTGTCACACCCTCCGCACTCCTCTCTTGCACATAGTGCCCACCGCCATACCCTCCTCCTCTACATACTGCCCCCCGCCATACCCTCCTCCTGTACTCACTGCCCACCGCCATACCCTCCTCCTCCACTCACTGCCCCCCGCCATACCCTCCTCCTGTACTCACTGCCCCCCGCCATACCCTCCTCCTGTACTCACTGCCCACCGCCATACCCTCCTCCTGTACTCACTGCCCACCGCCATACCCTCCTCCTGTACTCACTGCCCCCCGCCATACCCTCCTCCTGTACTCACTGCCCACCGCCATACCCTCCTCCT